TGCCGAAGTTCCCCTTTAAGTTGAATAATGTTGGAATGGGCTTAATTTGCAGCTTTGGGGAGTATTTGAAGATAATAACTCTGTGCATGAGTCCATCTACTCTAAAAATATACACTGTACTAGTAAACATATATAATGAGGTGATTAAAATCTCTACAGAAAGAAGGCTTTATCAAAAAGCAGTTTTCAAAGTGATTTATAGTTTGGTGAGAAAACAAGTAAATGTGTGCAGAATCAGCAGCTCTTATAGGTAAGCTACACTGAACACGTAATGTATGTTGCTGCTGCAACACTTCCACTGTAATCAGTGAGAGCGGCGTGTACGTTTGAAGTTTTCTAGATGCTTGGAAAATAATAAAATCTGGTCTGTTAACAAATCTTACATCCTTGCATACATATCCTACCTTTGGCCAACACTGACCCTCTGACTGACCTCTGACTGACCTCTGACTGCCCCTCCAGCCCAGCCCTCATCGCAGAGACGAGCGTCCGGTCAGCTGCTACACCCCGGGCAGTAACTCCCACCTCCAGACCAGTCTGGGGTCTGCGGGCCGCGACGCCGCCAACCTCGCCAAGGACAAGCAGCGTGCCTTCATGCCCAACCTGGTCAACAATGAGACCTATGGCACCATCCTCAACAACCCGCCTCAGTCCTCCACCACCTCTGCTCCGCCCCTGCCCCCGAGGAACCTGGGTAAGCTCAGAACCAGCAGTGTTTGTAGGTAAAAGTGAATCTCATCACCATTTTATGAATATATTAAAGTTTATATGGATAAATACATGTTAATCACAATCCAGCTAAATCTGATAACCTTTCTGACCTGAATTTGACCTCAACCTGCTTCTGGGAAGTGATATTTTTAAAATATGCCCTAGAGGAACAACCTCATTCAGATCTACAGTGCCTGTGGGGGCCTAGTCTTATTTGATTCTGTATCACTGGTTTCCAAGACCCTTATGCTACTTACTATGCAGAACTTAGTGACTATTTGACCTGTTTCAACACCACAGATGTATCTGGTTGCTTGAGGGAAAAGTCACGTCAGAGGCAGATGGAAGGACGTTTCCAGAAAGTTGTTCCTCTTTTATGTGAAGTCTAAATTACCTTAAAGCTAAATGGCAGGAAACAAAATTTAAAATCTTTACTGGCGAGTATCTGTTTGTGTGCCGCTAAAATACTTTGTTACACAGTCTCTTTAATATCATTAGTGGCTATCTGGACTTCTGCCAACAGAGCGGAGGAGAAACAACCAGCTGTGTTGCCCACCTCGCCTCACCGCAGCCCCCCGAGCCTCTGCATTCTGCACATTCCCTCTCCTCATTAACTGTCACTTTCAATTATTTTCAAATGAAAACGGCCAGACTTTTAAAGTGGACGTTGGTTCTGGCAAGCTGCAGAGCACTCTCTCTGCCTCTCTTCTTTTCATTTTAATAACCACTCTCTTTCTCTGTCTCTTTCTCAGTCCAATTATCCGGTCTTGGAGGGATTGGTCAGTCTTCAGCATCCAGCAGCTGGAAGCCTGGTCCTTTAGACCTGGTTGGCCGACAGAGGTCGTCCTCAGACCCCCCCAACATGCACCCTCCTGTGCCCCCCATGAGACTCACATCAACTGGAGGTATGGACCCCAATAGACCCACTCCTCCTCCTTAAACTAGACCCCTGCTACAGTGTAGACATGTCAGTATAGTATAGTGTTTTAGTCTAGTTCAGTGTGTACTAAATACATTACTTTAAATGTTTCATTTTACAATCACCAAGGGGTATACACTGTAAAATCTTTGCAGAGATTAAATTAAAATTCATGAAATGACTTAAACATAAAAAAGCCGCTTATTGTACAGGGAGAGTGAAAGAGTCCATAAAGCCTGATTGATTACGTCTGCAGTTCACATTGTTAAAAGTATGGGAAGCAATAACCTGCACAAAAAGACAAAAAAGTAGCGCCGCACTACAATTAATTTAACATTATTTTGCAAATGATATAACTGTGAACAAACACTGTGAAAACTGAGAGGACTAGAAGTTTCAAGACCAGGGCTACAATTAATAATTGTATGACTGATGATTTTAATCAATGCATCTGTTATTAATGTCATTAAAGCATGAAAAATCATACGTCACTAAAAACCCAGTGTGTTGTGTTTAAATTGCTTGTTTGTGTAATGGTTAAGTACAATAGTGTTTAGTTTGAAAAAAATATGA